CATCCCCTCCTCCTCATTTACTTTTTGTCTCTGCCACGAGGACATAAGCAACCTGAGCGAGAAACAAGGTCTTACTCACCTCTAAGCAAATTCCAGGACTTGGCTTAAATATTTGTTGCATGAATGGTCTAGGAAAGAAAGATAATGTCAGTGGTGCTCTGCTGTGGTTGGCTGCTGTAGCAAAGACCACAAACTGAGTGGCTCTGAACAACAGAAATGTATTGTCCTACACTTCTGGAGGCCAGAAGTCCAAAATCAAGGCGTCAGCAGGTCCCTGCTCCCTCTAGAGGTGCTGGGAAGGATCACTCGGTGCCCTTCCTAGATGCTGGGGACCCCAGGTGTTCCTCTGCTTGGAGACGCACCACCCCAATCCTCTGTCTTCACATGACCTCCTTCCTGTGTCTCTTCATGTCGCCTTCCCTCTCTGCACGTCGGTCTCTGTGTCCAAATTCCCCCTTTTATGAGGCCATCAGTCATATGGGACCCAATAGGATTTGGGTCCATTCTAATGACCTCACTTTAATTTGATCACCTCTGTAAAGGCCTTATTTCCAAATAAGGTCACATTCCAAGGTACTGAGGGTTAGGACTTCAACACATCTTTTAGGGGGATTCAATTCAACTCATAACACTTACCTACCACCTCGCCAGCATGTTCAGGAGGGTAATTTTGCTTGATCTTCATAGCAATCCCATGAAGTAGGTAGTACAATTCCCATTGTTCATAATTTTACAAAACTAAGACTCAGTAAGAAAGCACAGGGTAGTAATTAGTGAAGCCAAGTTTTCCTGAGTGTATGTGACTTCAGTGCTAGACAGTCAGTGTCATGGCGAAGATGGACGTGGACGTGGGATGCAGACAGTTGGACCTTAATCATCCTTCCAGTGCCACCTCTGGACCACGTGACTTCCATCCCCTGGTCTGTAATAGAGGGATGATAACAGAACCTAAGTTTTCCTGTCATTTGGAGATAATAATGCAAGTAAAGTGGTTACCATCTCTGTGGTTAGCACAGAGATTGCCAAAAACCAGCTAATGTCATGTCATGTTATCACTCTGACTACATCTTCTTAAGGAGCAGCCCCAGGGACACAGCACAACTCAGGAACGGGGCATCATCTCTGGTTTATCTCTTGTCTTGCAAAGTCCACCCACCCTTCTTCTCATGAAGAAGCATCTGCTTCCTTCTCAGCACTTCCCTCCTCCAACTCAGATATGAGAACATGAGCAAAACAGGAATGTCCAGGAGCAGTGGCCAGCCCAGATCGCCTCCCCTCCACCGAGAAGCCCATCACCGCAGAAGTCTCTGCCTCTGTCCCTTCCTCGTCTCCATCCTTACTGCCACCATTTCACAAAGACGGGTAACAACCGGGCTATGTTAATGCAACCATGGATCACAGAAATTCTTTAGAGGTCCTTTCAATCAAAGGATGCCCAGGGTAAGAGAGGAGATGACTGCTGAGCCCTTTAAAATCTCCAGCAAAGCCAAGCCCACAATCTTCTGGGTGGACCTTTCAGGAACTAGCAAATCAGCAGTCCTAAATTTCATGTCTCACACAGACTCCTCCTCTTTCTTCCCTTCGTGCTGGAGCTGCTCTAAGCCTGAGAGCATGTGCTATTGAAAATCAGGTTGGAGCTGGGTCTCAGCTCCATCCCTTTGCTGTGTGGCTTTGCACAAACTACTTAATTTTTCTAGGTCTCAGCTTCCTCACCTGCAAAATGAGAGAACAGTTTCTGCTTCACAGATCATTGTGTGGAATCCGTGATACATCAGGCTTCACAGGCAGGTAATAAACACCTCGTCTTCCCGCCCTTTCTCCCTTCAAGTCACTTTTAACTGCTTGCGTTCAGACAAGCACCTGAGGTTATATAGAACACTGGACCAATTCTAAATACAGTCAAGAAGAAAATCTGGGCTTTATATTTGCTGATGCAACTTGTATCTTAAACAACACAAAGGTCAGTTTGGTGAAAAAATTCTGGACATGGACAGTGGTGATGGGTACACCGCAAAGTCAATGTACTTAATGGCGCTGAGAACATAAAAATGGTTAAAACGGTATATTTCATGTTATGTAGAGTTTACCAAAATTTTTTCTAACTTAAAAAAATTAAAAGGGGTTCCTTCTGAGTCTATTTTTTTCATTTTATTTTATTTGTTTATTTTTTTGAGTCTATTTTTTTTTTTTTTTAGTGGGCAAGGAAATCAAAGTGGAACCGTGAATGTTTAATACTCGACAGGCCCTTCCCAAGAACCTCACATTTTTTACAGAATGTTCACGATTGTCTGGATCTACTCAGGTTTCTCTGATCCCAAGATTTTGGCTGACGTTGATGCTATAATAAAAATATGTTCCAAGGCATTGTTTAAATTTTTCTCAAAATGCTTTGTTCTTTGTAAGGGTAGCAGTCCTTTTATCTGAGGCTGGGAGTGAATTCAGACTCTCTTGATGGGACAGAAAAATCTCTCTTATGAGAGGAACACAGAGAGCAGAGGTCTGGACCTCTTGAGCTCTGTAACACAGAGAAGTATCATGACCCCCCGCACACCCCTCTCTCTCCCTTTCCCTTTTTCTAAAGGAAAGAAAAGAAGGAAGCAGGGGGCTCTGATGCAAGACTAGCAAACGAATTTGTTCAAAAACCTCAGAAAGGTGCTTATTATGGGCTTGCTTTTAAGGGCACCGTGCTAGACGCCTTCTCATAAATTAGGTCGTGTGAGAGCCACCATTACCCAGTAATGTAATGCTATCTCCACTTGAAAGATCTGTTTACTGAGTTCCAAGAGGTTAAATAAACGACCCATTTACCACGACTGAAACTGGTGTCTGGTCGGCAGTTTACGGAGAGCTAGCTACTCCTGGCAGGATCCCACTCTTACAAAGTATGGAGACCAGGCGTGCAAGTCGGACAGGGCGTCGGCCCCCGACGGGGGCTGCTGTCCGAGCTCCTCACGCCCCGTGAAGGCCGCGCCCCTCAGCCCGCGTGCTCCGGGCCAGCGCGGTGCCTGCCTCCCCTCCCCTGGGTGACACAGCGTCACCCGGTCAGCAGTGCGTCTTCAGTGGGTGTTCACCACCCCTCTCCCAGGAGGCGAGGAGGCCCCGCCACAGAGCGGGGCCCAGTGTGAACAAGGCGGGCACAGCACGCGTGTCCAGGGCACTCCTGGTGTGATGGGCAGTCGCAGCAGGAAAGCACAAAGTGTGAGCAGGGGACCCCGGGGTACCCACCTGTGCTGGTGTCCCGCCACCGCTGCACGGAATCTCCTTCAGCTTCTGGACTCTCACCTCATGGAGGGGCACCCAAGATTCAGTCACACTGTCGTCAAATCCCTCCACTGCCATGAACTCCAGCCTCTTTTCCACCTGCAAAGTAAAGTGCAGTCAAACTTCAGTTTGCGAAGAATGATTGAGCTTCAAGAAAATAAAAAAAGAAAACTTCCTGAATTACACATTTGAATAAAAACACAAGTGAAGCCCTCTGCTTGTTTTACAGATGTGGCTGGGTTACAACTCTACACTGCCAGTCAGAGAGGAAGAGAAAACGTGGTCTCTAGCTGTGGTCTCCGTCGGACCTGGCTTCCCTCCTGCGCTCCCGCCTGCTGGACAGCAGAGAAAGGCAATGAACGTACAGGCTGGTTTTCAACCTTAGTTAGATGCAGTGATTTAAGTAGTCCCTTTGGTGTTTGTCCTGGAGAGAATTTTATCTCAGTCGCTTTACTTCCATGCCCGTCTAGTGTGTGGGGGAGGAGGCCTCCTGTGACCCCATGGCGGTAGAATGAAGAGGGCGGGGATCCAGGAACCCTCCTCAGTCCAGTACTTGTTTTGACCAGCCCAGCCCCACCTAAGGTAGCGCTGGCCTGATCTTGCCGTTGGATCTGCCAGTTTGCTGATGCCACCTGTCCTCCTGAACTTGTGGCCCATTCGTCCCCAGTGGGTCCTGGATCACAGAGTCTGCATCCCCTGGCCAGGCTCCTACCCCTTGGCCAACTCACGGGTTTTCAGCTCCACATTTGCGCCATGTGGAAAACTTGGTAGAGTTGAGAGTGCTAACTAGACTCGCTCTCAATCCGATCATGCCGTCCCCCGTGCTAGACCGGCCCGTGCTGGCCTGAGTCCCTGCACGGCGTCTTCCTCCAGGGCTCCACCAGGTGAGGAAGAACAGGATGCCCCACCCTCTGCCAGTCCCCCATTCTGCTTGATCCGTCTGTCACCATGGTGCTGGTAGCTGGACAACAGGCTTTCCAGGGACTTGAAGGGTTTGCCAATTATCATGGCATAAGTATTCACACCATGTCCAATTTCAGGCTGCCAACTGTGTACCAATCAGTTTGAAAATTTTCCTGAAATTTTAAGTCGGCTTTCAAGAGCATCCAAGCCAGCTCCAACACACCTCTGACACCCCAGCCCTCTCAATCCCCTTCAGCATAAAAATAGAAAGTTGCAACAACCAAAAAAACACTTTTAACCAGGTATTTCTTTTGCCTCTTTTTTCACTGCTTTTCATCTTATCGTCTCCAAGGATGTAAAGGGTTGAATTTTCCCTCTTTCTTCCACCCAGAACAGTGAGCTGAAACAGGCACCCTCTGTACACTATGGAATGACCTCCAAGATCTAAGCCGCTCAGTCTTGGTTCTTGAGATGTGAAATAGGAGCAAAAAAATATTAGAAGATGTTTTGCTTTTCCAAAGCCTATTGTCAGACTGTAAAAGTCTATTCTGAATGTCAGAAGCTGAACATTCTATTATTCATATTGGATCATTTCATTTCTTTTTCTTTTTTGTTGGGGGAGGTAATTCAGTTTATTTATTTATTTATTCTTGGAGGAGGTGCTGGGGATTGAACCCAGGACCTTGTGCATGCTAAGCACATGCTCTACCACTTGAGCTACACCTTCCCCCTGGATCATTTTTACTGATGTATCTTCAAAGTCATCAACTCTTTCCTCTGTCATCTGCATGGAGCCCATCTAGTTTTTGAATGTTGGCTACTGCATTTTTCACTTCTCAAATTCCCATTTGGTTCTCTTTTCCAGTTATATCTTCTGTTTGTTTGCTGAGAATTTCTAACTTTTAGCTCATTTCTAAAGGGTTTGCCCTTACTTCTTAGAACATTGTTGTAACTGCTACTTTAAAGTCTCTGTCAGATATTTCCAACATCTGAGACCTCTTTGGCTTTGGCAAGCTGGGATTTTCCTGTTCTTTGCCTTCTGAGTAGTTTTGGATTCTTTCCCAGCTGTTTTGGATGTTACAGGATTCTGGGCCTAACTTCAAGCCTGTGGGGAATATGGACATTTTTCTTTAGGCCGCCAGACTGCTTTGTTTCGCAGACGCTGTGGAGTTCAGGCTGCAAGTTCTGAACGGCCTTCTGCTGGTGTGTTTTAAATGTCACCACTATTTTCAGTGTTTGCAAGTGCTATTCAGCTGTGTCTTACGTGTGTGCCACCCAGTGGACAGTCTGGGGCTGAGCTCTGGTCTACCCCATGGGTCACGTCTCAAGCTCTATGCCATTCTGTTTAGGGTCAGATCCATGTGAGACAGCTCAGGGGCGATCCCAGAAGTTCATAAACAACTTTGTCACCTTCCTGAGCTCCTTCCTGTCTGGGATCTCCCTAAGAATTTCTGACCCCCTGGAACTCCTCTTTCCAGTCTCCAGCCAGAAAGCTGGGGCTTCATGTGCCTCACTCTGCCACACACTTGCTGCAACTGAGTCCATGTCTGGGACCAAAGGATGGAAGAGGTTTTAAAGAAAAGCAACAAGGGTTCAACCCACCTTCTTGGGGCCACAGCTCCTCCAACTTGAGACGTGGTTTCCCCTAGAGTTTTGGGCTCCCCAGTTTTCCCACTGTCTCTGCTGCCGCCTCAGGATTGCTTAGGGGCTGAGATGCAAGAAAATGGAGAAAAGAGGGGAAAAAATGAGGATTTCTCCAGCCACTCTTAGCATAAGGCAATCCCTTCCCCACTCCTTGAGCCTGAACCTGAGAGCGTCTCCTGGGTTACAGAGTTTTTCTCTGCTGACGCTGCCTCCCTGTTTCTGGCCGTGCTGAGCCCAGGAAATAGCAGAGAGGAAGATGCACCTCCTCCCTGGTTTAGTGGCCCCTCAGACCTGCTCTTCTCCCCCAGTCCACCTGCTACTATTTACTTTTCAGAGTCCTCACATCAGTGCTCCGTGCATTCTGTCCAGGTTTTACAGCTGATTTCAGTGGAGAGATTCAGCGGAGCGTGTTTAATCTTACCCGGTTACCAGAACCCCTCTGCCCCCCGTGTAGTCAGAGAGATCTTTCTAAAGCACAAGTCTAGTTACATCACTACTCTGCATAAAGTTCTTAAATCCCCCTGCCTTGTGCCCTCAAACCCCTCCGTCTGGGATGCAACCGCCTCTGTAACCCAGCCTCTCCTCCTTGCTCCAGCTTCCAGCATCCCCACCTTCCAGCATCCTCACCGTGCTGTGAAGCAGCACCGGACAGCTCGCATCTCCTGGAGTAGAATGTTCCCACCCTCCCAGCTTTGCACAGGCTGCCCCCTTACCTGGAATGTGCATCTCCCTCCTTGCCTGGCTAGTCTCCCACAGGCCTCCGTCGAGATGTGCTCTCTCTGGGGATCTGCTCCTTACCCACAAGATGGATCGCTTTCCCTGAAGTGAGCTCCAGCATGTCCTGTCTCAGCACGAACCACCCTGTGCCATGATCACCTGTGTATCGCTCTGCTTCCTGCACTCAACTGGGAGCACCTTGCAGGCAGGCACCGGGTTTCCTCCAGTTTCTAGAAGAGGGTTTGGCACTTAGTAAGTTCTGATCAATACCGGTGCACTTGAACTGTGTCGGAACCAACAAGCCCCAGAAGTGGATTTCCTACCCCCAAACTGCCACCCTCTTGGTCAGGGTCCCTGATAACTACTCGTTATTTGGTCCCCTGTCAACGGTATGTTCCACCCTGGGTCTTAGACTCCACCCTGGACGCTGGTTTGCACTTTCCAGACCTCCATTGTTCAGACTATGGGGAGCCCCCGGATTTTCAGCCTGTCTTTAGACTCACATGACCCAGTGCTCGTCCCTGAGAGGACCACCCTTTGACCCTAGTCAACACCTGTGCAGTTGAACTGTGTCAGAACCCACCGCACCCTGGGAAGTAGATTTCCTTCACCGAACCTCTGGCTTTTTTGTCTGAGCCCCTATTGAGCACCAGCTACTGACCAAATGGACCGTGATTTCCTGATGTATGTTTCCACCCCCATCCCACCTGTCTGCCTACCGCATGTCTTCTGAAAGAAATCTGACATACAAGCCATCCATATAATTTAAAATGATCTAGAAGCCATATTTTTTAAAAGGAAAAAGAAACAGGTGAAATTACTTTCCATAATATATTTTATTGAACACCCCATGTCCAAAAGTGTTAGCATTTCAAAATGTAATAAATGCTTTTTTAAATATCAGGAAAAGTTTACATTCCTGTTTTCATACTAAAACTTCATAATCTAGCCTGTATTTTATACACATCTGCAGTGAGACCTTGCTTCCCGCGGGCTGCTCCCAGCCTGAGCGTGTCAGTGATACTAGAGCAGGCTCCTTCCAGGAGTCCTATGACTTCTCTGATGGGCGACCTTGGATAGAGGGCTGTGCAAAGTATCTGTTGCTGCATAACAAATTACACCAATGTTTAGTGGCTAAAAACGACACACGTTTATTCTCTCGCAGTTTCTGCAGGTCAGGATTTAGGTGTAGTTTAGCTCAACCGTCTGCTTCAAGATCTCTCACAAAGCAGAAATCAGAGTGCCAGCCGGGGCTGTGGTCTCATCAGAGGCCACGGGCCAGCTCAGGGTCTGTGGTTTCTTTTGTTGAGGGATAAGAGAGGAAAGGGTTCTGAGAAGTCCTGCCAGCATCTTAATATGACTCTGAAGTCACCACCTGTGGATCTCAGCACATTTGATATTAAAGGTAAAATACAACCCTTGCCCCCCTGCAAAAATGTTTTAAATAATTGGGAAAAATGTATTGCTTCCTCGGTCAATGTATGTCTATTGTATGTGTTACAATAACCCTCTACCTGACTTACGAGTTTGAATTTCTAGAGTGTACGATCTTAAGAATGAAATCAATATGAAGAAACAATGAGGATTGATACCAAATCTTATACTTTTTATTGCATACTTTAAGACCTGCCTTAGGGCCGATAATTTTTTTATGTTGCACTTTTCACTTAAGCCCTTAATTTTGTACCAACTTTCCAAAAGTGTTTGGTAGGGTAATCTAAATGTGCTAAGAAGTCAGCTTTAGAGAGTGGGCAGGTCTTAAAAAACTCGGATAAGAACTAAACACTTGTTTTGGAAAAGCCAGTACTGAGTTAGAAGGTGCAATAAATTGCTCTTATGGAGCCTTTCCCTTGTGGCCTCAGGTCAGAATAGTCCCCTGTGTTTTTATTCATCATTGCTGTGTCTGCTTCATCATCGTTGCCAATATGAAGTACGCAAATAAATACTCTATCTAAAGAATATTCCTCTCATTTCCCTTGTGCACCACACAGGTTATAAAAAGGAGGAAAATGAGGTAAGTAAGCTTTCTTGGCACTGTTTCCCTAGGGAAGTCCATATAATGTAATTTACAAGCTCAGCCAGGAGGTGGCAGTCGTGACCAATGAGAAAACCCTGACCCTTTGCCCCAGCGGATGTTTCCTGGACCTAATCTGATGCTTATGAAAGCGATTTCCTTCTTACAAAAACACCAGCCCCAAACAGAAACGAACCTCATCCTGCAGATAAAGAATGTTTGTGCCTTACAAGTTGTCAGACCATCTTAGCTGTAGCCAGACCTTCAGTAAGTATTTTCCCAGCAGTGAGAGGAACTGCGGGCTAGGGGACGGGAGTGGCCACCTCATCCCCCGACACTGAAGCCTCGCACCTTATCACGTCCCAGCTCCCGAAAGGCTGAACCCGCGGGGGATTCTGCAGGAAATGACTAGAAGCTGAATAGCTGTTCTGTTGAGTTAAGAGGGCTGCTCCCAAGTCCGAGTCACTCAAACCAAGTGCTTCCACCAGCGACGCCCAAGTGTCTCCCTCACGCAGACACAGTCCAATGGCCTTTCCCGAGAGGTGTTCAATTGAATGGGCGTTATGGCCACCTTTTAAACTATGGGACTGGGGTGCCTGCTCAGACAGGGAAGGGTTCTGGGGGATTGGGGAAGCCAGTCCAGGAGCCCAGACCTGACGCCGAGCACAGTGGGCAGTCAGAGGTTTTAAGCAGGGGGATGAGAGGGCTGATGGAAGGGAATGTAGACTTGGTGATGGAGAGAAAACGGAGGGCGTTTTCCTCTGTCCTGAACCCCAGCATCCATTCATGGTACTTCCCACAACATACTGTGCAGACCGGCAGTGTGCCTCAGGCTCCTCCCTCTCTGCGTCTGTGGAGGGGACGCAGCCCCCAGCCCCACCGAGTCCTCAGCAAGACAAGTGATGGCAGAGTAGCTCGCGGGCTGTGGCATCAGTGGGACGCGGCTTCCGGACTTGGAGAAACAGCATAAGCTCTCCAATCTGTGCTTTGACCTCACAGGTGACGTGACTGCGGTGAGGGTGAAATGAGATCCTGGGGGTAAGTCCTGAGGACAGCGCTAAGCCGGATAGAGCCCCCGGGAAACTGGTTCCCATGGACGGACTTGCCCTGGGAAGAGGTCGTGAAACAGAACAAACTCACCAGGAGACGCTGAGCGAGCGCTGGGGCTCATCACACCCACGACCCCCGGCGCACACACGCGCGTGCACACACACACACACTCAGGCATGGAGGGCTCCTCCTCCACCCTACTCCCACCCCCGAAGCTGAGAGGCTCTTCTCTGCTCCAGCCAAGATGCCCTGGGGGGTTCCCTTTTCCGTCTGCATGCAAGTGCATCCGAAGGGCCCACCCGGGGTTCAGCCCCCAGGACTCTGCGCCCCTGGGATGGCCCTGACTCTGGCCCGCCACCATCCAGGGCTCACCCTGACCAGCCCTCTTTCACTGCACCAGACTGTTGATGGGTAACTGGTAATCACACCTCTTCGCCCCCGAGCGAGGGCTCGCTCCAGCCCCAGGTGTCGCTTGTAGGTGAACCAGGTGTGCTGCTCACCACGTGCTGACTCTCCCCACCTGGCCTCTTGTGAGAACTTGCCCTATTTACCGGCTGCCAGTGAGCTCAGCCTCCACCCAGATCAATTTCAAATGCCTTCCTTCGCAGGCCCCGTGGGGCAGGTGCCAAGTGGGTCAGCCTTCGGTGCCCAAGCTTCCAAATCTCTGAAAAGGGGTCTTCCAGGAGGCAGGAGGCCCCTGCTGGGCCCAGGCTCTTCTGATGTACCTGGATTCACATAACAAAACCTGTGAGGCCTCAGCTTACTGCGTCCTATGCCCCAGATGTAGTTTTGAAAGTTGGTTTGGAATGTATTTTCCCAGCAGAACAAGGAGGCTTGGACCTGGGAGTCAGGGAAAGCCTGATGGTAAGTTTAGGGGGGACTGGACCAAGGTCAGATTTGGGGGAGAACTGACAAGAAGGGCCAAGGAACGGAGTGGGCCTGGGGAAGGTGTACAGAAGCCAGAGGAGATGATGGAGGATTTGGGAAGACACTCAAGAGTTTGGACTTACTCTGAGGGCAACAGGGAACCATGAAAACATTTTACGCATGGAGGCCACCTGATCACAAAGGGGGAACCCTTCTCCCCGTGGGGAGCTGGGACGTGGCTGTAACTCAGCAGAGGGGCAGGGTACTCAGGAAGGCTTACCCCACGGTGCACAGGGAGGGACACCCTGAGAATTTCGGCTTCAGTTGAGGAGCGAGAGGGAGAGAGGGGTTGTTTGTTCAAAAGGCCAACGGGCCACCAAATCTGAGATCAGGAGCTAGTTTTAGGTGGAAGGCAGGTGGACATAAACTGGGGGTGCCTGCCTTCTGCCCTTTTAGAAATGCTATTTCCTCCCAGCCTGGAAACTTCCATCAACTCAGATACAGCAACTGCACGGCAGCGCCAGGACTACAGGAATCGTACAAAACGGAAAGAATGATCTGTTTTATGGGAGGCCTTTGTTATCTCTAAACTTAGGACGAGGCCAAAGTCCAGTGCCCTTCAAGCCTGAACAGACTGATTTCTCTTTGTGCCCAGATCTGGACGGCACGAAACTTGAGGCTGGAGGGGAGTCATTTAAAGTTGAAATATTTTTATGATATAATAGTGTTTTACTAAAAGGAAGGATAGTATAAATACATATACACCTGCAGCACTGATGATAAGGTTAAAATTTTCTATTTAAATACACTAATAAACAAATCCATGAGTACAAACCAAGGACCCACATGTCCTTAAGCACGGGTCAGTCAGTGCACGAGCAGAAACACTTTTATCAAAGCCACGCCAGATCTGCACCAATGACTGTTCTCCAAAGGGCACATTTTATAACATGAGTATTTTATAGCTCTGTGTTTATTTCATTTATATATAAATTTCATCTATTGATATATTTTGCCACCTTTTGCATATTTTACATCTATTTTTTATTTGTTTGTTTCTTTTAGACAAAAGCCAGGATTAACAAAAACTTAACCAAAAATACACCCAGAGACATAGCCATAGTATTGGAAACTCCTCTCCCAAAAGCAAGAGAGTTTCTTAGCTAAATTATAAAATTCCATTGGTTAGGCTTCCACGAGATTTTGAAAATGGTGTAATGGCAAGATGGCTCACATACTTCTCCATGAATATATTAGAAACAGACCGATAACCACTGAAGCATAAGTACTACCGT